CCCCGCCCACTGGACACAGTGTTACACCTTACTATTTAATATAGTTAAAAATAAGCACATACGGGGCGCCTGGGTGGCACAGTTGGTTAAGGGTCTGCCTTGGGCTTAGTCATGATCCCGGAGTCCTGGCATCGAGTCCTGCATCAGGCTCCCTGCTCAGCGGGGGTAGACTGCTTCTCTCTCTGCTCCCCCTCTGCTCCTGCTCGCTCGCTCTCTTGCTCACTCTTTCTCAAATAAATAAATAAAATCTTTAAACAAAATAAGCACATATATTACTACTTCAGACACTTCTCAATATTTTTATCTGGATTTCAACATAATTGATTTCCTGGGCAATCCTGCAGATTTTAACTTACGTAATTAAGAATATTATCCTAAGAAGGGGTCTTACAGGCTTCACGAGACTGCCACGGAGGTTAGGGCAGCCAACTCACAAGGGCAACACTCTCTCGTTGGTAGAGACTTTAAGGACTCATTCTTTTCAAGCAAAGCTGGCGATCTGCACGTGGGTGTTGTCCAAGGCGCGTCTGCCCTGGCCAGACGATGAACACAGCCATTTCACAGGCAGGACAGGCTCCAGCCGCTGTTTGTGTTGTCCCCACCACCCCCCCGCCCGCCCCACTTCTGGAATGCGCACAGCTTTATATGAAATCCACATGGTGCGCGGCTGGGGAAGGCGGCGGCACGAAAGGACTTTACCAAGTTGACAGCGTCCCCAGGCCCGGCCAATTCTGAGAAGGCTCCAGAGAGCTAAAGGCCACCTGGGCCCGCTTCCCAGTGGGGGCCCCCCATGGTGACAGTGCTCTGCTACAGGAAATTGGATCTCCGGGTCGTCCTGCTTTCCCAGCCCGAAACTCTGGACTGAAACGAGCTCAATCAACTGGAGAGCAGACTCACTGCCAAGACACATCCGGAGTCGACACACAACTGCAGGCTGTCGGCTAAATTGCCCAGGCAGAGGCCGGCTCCGGCGGTCTTTTCCTGCCCCGGCACCCACGCAAGTCCCAGGGCCCGTGCGCCGCCTGGGACCCAGCTCTGGCCTTTGCCCTGCCGAGGCTCCGCGCCCGCGTCTGGTTCCTACCGGACCGGGTCCCGTCCCCAAAGGCACAGGACAATAGCGAGACGCGGACCGACTTCCCGGCGGCAATGCCGCCCACAGCTGCCGGAGAGGAAACTCCGCCCGGGGTCCCGGGATCCCGGGATGCCGGGGTTCCCCGGGTCCCTCAGGGCGCGAGCGGGGCGGCGCAGACCAGGCGAGCTCCGCAGACCCGCGTGCTCCTCTGACAACAGTGGCCAGGCGGCGCGGAGACGTCGGCGGGCCGTGCGGAGGCGGGGAGCCCGCGGGGTCCAAGAGACCCCGCGCCGCGCCCCGCGCCCCCGTGGCCGGCAGGTCCGGGTGCCCGCCCACGACGCCCACGTCCGGCCAGCCCCGCAGGCGCCCCCGCCAGCCCTGGCCTTCCTTCCGACGCCGGCTCGGCCCCCACGCCCTCCTCCCCGACAGCCTCCACCGCCTGCCCCGGGGGTCGCACTCACGTAGACCGAGTCGATGTCGGATTTGTCGAAGAAGCGGAGCGCCTGCCTCAGCTCCAGGGCTGGGGAGACGCGGTCGTCCCCAGCCTCCAGCTCCAGGTCCCCGTGTCCCGGGCCGAAGGGGAAGAGCTCCTGGCGGCTCAGGCAACCCCCGGGCCCCGCCAGCAGCAGCTGCAGCAGCAGCGCCCGCGTCCATGCAGCCCCGCTCCGGCGCATCGCGGCCAACATGTTCCCGAACTGCTGTCCCGCAAACCTAGCGGCTCGGCGGACCAGGCTGAGGAAGGCGGAGACGTAACCGGACGCCCCTCAGCAGCCCCTCCACGCCTCCCGCCTCCCGACGTTCCCACCCCGGGAAATAGGGGAGGAGAACGAGGGGAGATGGGGAGGGCCCCGCCCCGTCCACAGGGCGCGCCGCCCAGGCTGCCCAATGGCCGCGAGGGGGAGGGCGAGGGGCGCCACCGAATCCCCCTGCGGTTCTGGCGACGTCGCCCTCGACCCCCGCGGGGTCATGGGCGCTCGTGGCGGCGATTCCCGAAACCAACCCGGTTGCCATGGAAGAGCAGAGCGTGGGACTTTGCACCATGGTCCTCGGCTCAGGGTTAAGGCGAAGGGCGGGCTACGTGGAAATGCTCTGGATTCAGGAACACAGTCGATCCCAGTGCTGCTTGGCGGCGTCCGGAGGTCGGACTCACTGGGTCAGACTATGGTAGAAAGAGGGGGTAGGTGCTGGGGTCCCACCCTCCGAGACAAAGTCACGAGTGTATAAGATAATTCGGTGTTAGGTGGGGCGGGGTCCCCAAGTGATAAAGGATATTAGGGCTGGAATAATCGGCCAATGAGAGCTTCCTGGGGGATGTGGGAATCAAACCAGGTCTTCTGGAAGGGATGGGATTTCATCGGAAGGATGGGGGAGGGACGTTCTGGAAAGTGGAGCTGTGCGTGGATTCAAGGCACCACCCCCAGTTGAGAATTTGGAAAACGGCTATTGGAAGGAAAGCCTTAATACCAAACCCAGGAATTTGAACTCGCTCTAACACTCAGAGAACAACTATTGAGAATTCCTGACAAAGGGAGATAAGTCATGTAAGTGGTGTCCCAAGTAATGGGTTGATCATTAATTTGACATTTGGGAGGTCATCAGAGGGCTGCCGAAAGGAAAAACAGGGGTAGGGGGCACTGAGAAAGGAAAAGGTGGAAATTGAGAAGAATTACAATGAAAGAAGGAATGAGACCTGATTATGATTTTGATATGGGGGTTAGGGAGAGAAGTTAGAATTGGGTGTAAGGTTTTGAGCCTGCAGGACTGCAAAATCGGGCTGCCTTTTGAAGTCAGGGAGGATGACCAGAAACAGTGGGAGTTGGACATGCGTTTGCTGTCATACCTCTTACCTGGAGAGGTCAACAGGGCACTTCTGTTGCCTGTCACCAGCTAAAATTAAGGACCAGGGCCCAATTTGAAATAAGTCTCCCAATAAACAGCCAATTCAATATAATATTTAAGGAGCATGCGTCCTCAACCAGTAGAAAACATAAAAAGCAAATGAAGTCCACCCACCCTCTGAACATAAAGTCTTTGATCAACTCTGGATGTCTTTTTCTTTTAAATTCATTTTAGCCACCACAGAAAACATGTATTAAGTTTCTACAGGTATCATCCAAATGAAATAACTCTAAGAGACAGAAACCATCCCCATTTTACCGAAGAGGGCCATAGAGATTCAGAGAGGTTTAAATCATTTTGCTAAGGTCGCACAGCCGGAAGCCTACAGGTGATCCAAGATGTTCCAGCTCCAGGACCACCTTAACCACTACATTAAATGGCTTCTTATTGCTGCATTTTTTTTTTCTCTGTTGTTAAAAAGTGACTAATGCTGCTTGCAATCTGTTGCCAAATCCGGTGGCTTTTCCTTCAACTCCCTCCTGGAATTGCAGTGCTGGGAGCCCCTCTCCCCCGCCCCCAGAAGCACTTCCTGACTGCACTCCATCCCTAGCTTCAGCTGCTGCATTTCTGGGCTTCCAGGCCCCAGCACTGGCCATTCAAATGGCCAAGGACTCTGCCTGGAGGCTCCTCTTCATCCTCTGTGCTTACCTGCACATAGCAGGGGCCCCAGAACACCCAGCCAGCATTTTCCCGCCTGTGTCTTAGACTCTCCTCCTTCAAACCCCCCACCTTCTGTCTCACTTCAGAGCTACGCTGAAGCCCAAGCTGTTGCTTGTGCCTGGAATGCTCTCACCCCTCTCACGAATTCTCTCCGTTTTTGGTGCTCAGACAGCTTCTGAAACTCCTATTGGTTCATGGAATTTTCCGCAGCTCATACGAGAGCAAGAGCAGTTCTCCAATATAGTGGTTCAAAGCACCAAGACCATTAAGACACAATCCCTTTTGTGACTAGCTCGCCGTCTATTAAAGAAGACAGACAGAGGTAACAGTAACATGGTGAGATTGTTACCTCATTTTAACAGAATGAATACTATCAGTTGCTGAAGTTAGTAGCCTCAAGCAGATGTGGGGAGATAAGATTTGCAGAAGTTAGATAATGCGCCCAGTTTCATAGTTAGTGGAAAAGCCCTGATTTGTATGTTTTCAAATTTCCGTGTATCTGAAACCAAAGCTAATACTTTCTGTCACACCCTCCTGCCTTTCTAGAGAAGGAGAGGTTTCTCCTTCAATTTCCATCCACAAGGTATATCTGCTCTGTTGTTTATACATTATGTTCATGCTCTGTTTACGTGTTCATTTATTTCATCAGAATGGTCTTGCTCAAGTAAGTCTAGTATATACTGTAAACTGTCTGCCTTTTCCTATTTATAGCCCTGCACTCACTGCACGTCGCTTGGGGCTGGGGAATGTGACATCCACACTGTGTCTCTGACTGGGACAATGTGAGCTGGCTACCAGCCACTCCTTTAGGATTTCTAGTTTTAAATACATTTAAAAACAAAATCTTCATCATAGAATACTTAATTTTATGTTGTGCCCTTGCCATTTTCTAAGTGTATATAATAATTACGTATTTTTCTCTAGTTGTTTCTTGTGTTTTTCCCCCTGATATAAGCTCTTTGGGGAAAGGCTCATGTGTTCTATTCTTTTCCAGAGTTCATGGAGCCTCACCTAATGCTGAGTGCACATTAATAAAAGTGAATAGTTTGAAAACTCATTAGTACTTTTAAGAACCATTCGATATCTGCAATAGCCTATATACCCACAAGGACATAATATACCAGGTTTTTTTTATTATTATTATCTTTCATTAAACCCAGCACTTTATAGAGACTTGTACTTTTTCACTGGGTGCTATCATCCGGATGAAACAGGAAGACAAAATTCAGGAAGCAGTCTACATCTATAAGAAACCAAGTTAAACTTTCTAAGTGGTTTATTCAGACAAAAGTCCAGGCATCTGAGTGGGGAAATAGCTTGGTTGGCTATTTCTAATAGACATCTGTTCTAATCTCACTCTCCTGTGAGGTTTGGCCACTGACCACATATGGTCATGGAAGATTCCTTTATTTACTAGATGTCATGTAGAAATAAATGTGTTAGTGTTTCAATTCCAAGGGAATTCACTTAATCTGTGAATAAGATGATCACTATTTTAAAAAACTTAACCTCAATTCTTATCTTAGATAAAGATAACATAAATTAAATAACCATCCCTTAACGAAGAGAATTTTTTGTGAGAGTATTTCTGTAACTATGTCATGTTCCAAAGCAGTGTTCATCCCAAGAGAACCCAAGATAATAGGAAACTATTAGGGGATTGATCCAAAAAGTTTATATTTATGGCTTCTCAGCTCCTACTCTTTTTTTTTTTTTTAAGATTTATTTATTTTATTTTAGAGGGAGAGAGAGTGGGGGAGGGGCAGAGGAAGAGGGAGAGAATCTCAAGCAGACTCCACACTGAGCACAGAGCCTGACATGGGGCTCAATCTCATGACCCTGAGATCATGACCTGAGCTGAAACCAAGAGTCGGTCACTCAACCATCTGAGTTACCCAGGCACCCCTCAGCTCCTATTCTTAATTATCATTTTCTAATAATGGATTTTCATATGTTAATCACTTTTTTCCAATCTTTATTGAGGTAAGATTGACAAATAAAAATTGTATACATTTAAAGGTGTACAATGTAATGATTTGACATACATATAAATGATTACCACAATCAAGGTAATTAATACATCTATCATTTCACATAGTTACCATTCTTTATGTGTGTGATGAGAAGATTTAAAATCTACTTTCTTAGTGGGGCATCTAGGTGGCAGTCAGTTAAGCATCTGACTTTTTTTTTTAATATTTTATTTATTTTTTTTATTTAACAGAGCTAGAGAGAGACAGCGAGAGAGGGAACACAAGCAGGGGGAGTGGGAGAGGGAGAAGCAGGCTTCCCGACAAGCAGGGAGCCTGATGCGGGGCTCGATTCCAGGACTCTGGGATCATGATCTGAGCCGAAGGCAGATGCTTAATCGACTGAGCCACCCAGGCGCCCCAGTATCTGACTCTTGATCTCACTTCAGGTCTTGATCTCAGGGTCCTGAGTTCAAGCCCCATGTTGGGCTTCACACTGGGTGTAGAGCCTACTTAAACACACATACACACACACACACCAAAACAGTGCTACCTTAGCAAATTAGCAAGTATACAAAACAGTATTATTAACTATAGCTACCATACCGTACATTACAGCCCCAGAATTTATCTCATGAACTGAATGTTTGTGCTCTTTGGCCAACACTTTCCCATTTCCTCCATTCTTCAGCCCCTGGCAACCACCACTGAACTCTGCTTCTATGAAAGAATAGCAAAGATTTTTAGTATTGTAACCCACATTCATTTTAGATGGCTCACATGAATGTTTTGTTGAAAAGAATACTGATTTAGCCATGGCAATCAGACAAGAAAAACAAAGAGGAGGCATCCATATTGGTAAAGAAGAAGTTAAACTGTCACTATTTGCAGATGACATGATTCTATATATAGAAAATCCTAAAGACTCCACCAGAAAACTACTAGAACTGATAAATTAATTCAGTAAGCCACAGGATACAAAATAAATATACAGAAATCTGTTGGATTTCTATACACTAATAATGCAGTAGCAGAAAGCAAAATTTAAAAACAATACCATTTACAATTGCACTGAAAAGAGTAAAATACCTAGGAATAAACTTACCCAGAGATGAAAGACCTATATTCTGGGAACTTTAAACACGGATGAAAGAAATTGAAGATGACACAAATAAGTGGAAAAATATTCCATGCACATGGATTGGAAGAATCAATAATGTTAAAATGTCCATATTACCCAAAGCAA